ACCTCATTTTGCATTGTCTTGCTTGGGCGAAGACAGTCTTGAGATGAGCTGCGTGATCGGTGTCTGCTCGAGATTTGACGATCATGTCGTCCATGTATACTTCGAGCATGTCGCCGATCTGTTTGTTGAACACTTTGTTCATCATGCGTTGGTACGTCACGCCGGCATTCTTTAGTCCGAAGGGCATTACGTTGTAGTAATAGTTGCCCGAGCTGGTCATGAATGCCGTGCAACGTTTGTCGCCCGGAGCCATTGGGATTTGATTGTATCCCGAGTAAGCGTCCATGAACGACAAAGTTTTGTAGCCGGCCGAGTTGTCGACCAGCATATCAATGTTTGGTAGAGGAAAAGCATCCTTCGGGCAAGCCCGATTGAGATCAGTATAATCAACACACATTCGCCATTTTCCATTATTCTTTTTGACAAGTACAACATTTGACAGCCAGGTGGAATACCGGGCTTCAGAAATAAAATTTGCCTCTAAGAGGTCTTTTACAGCTTTTTCAGCAGCCTCCGTTTTCTCTGGAGACTGCCTACGCCTACGTTGTACTACTGCCTTGGCGGCTGGATCAATGGCGAGGTGATGACAGGCGACCTCAGGGTCGAGTCCGGGCATCTCTGCAGCGCTCCAGGCGAAGAGATCAGCATTCTCGCGCAGACAGGCCTTGATTTGCTTCCTGGCCAAGTCGGGGAGGTCTTTGCCGATCTTCACTCCCTTGGTCGGGTCTGCTCCGAGGGGAACGAGTTCGAAATCACCGTCCGGAATAGGTCGGAGGGGGATTTGCTCGCTGCTGGCCGGTTCGTCTTGGTCAAAACGGGCGTCGAACGCAATGGAGTCGACCTTTGGTGGAGCCTTCTGAACTTCTACCTCAGGAGATGCTCTGTCGGGTTCTTGCTTTGTCTTCTTGATGGGCCTAGTGCTGGGACCCACGTCGACAGTATCCCGTCCCCTTGAAGCGGCGTTGAAGCACCTGCGGGCAGCAGCGAGGTCGCCATGGATGGTGGCTACCCTTGCCCGTTTGGTGTAGAACTTCATTTTTAGGTGGACGGTTGAGGGAACCGCTGTCAGCTCCGCCAATGTCGGCCTCCCCAAGATGCAATTGTACAGGGACGGGCAGTCAATGACGAGGAAGCGGACCTTCACCTGTCTTGTAGCAGTTCCTTCCCCGAATGTCACGAGGAGCTCGACATATCCCCAAGGTTTGGACGTCGAGCCGTTGAAGCCTTGAAGGTCCGAACCTATATATGGAGACAGATGGGAGTCGTCCAGTTGTAAGGTCCGGAACAGCTGGGTGTACATCACGTCGACGGAACTCCCTTCGTCGACCAGGATGCGATGCACGTCAAAATTGGCCATCTTTGCCCTTATCAGCAAGGGGATGACTGCGTTCGGTGCTCCGCCGGGGAGCTCTTCCAAGTAGAATGTGATAGGCTCTGATCTGCCCCTCACCATTTCAAAAGTCACAGTTTGAGGAGGAGCTTTGTCGACCAGTTCGTCCAACTTCCTCTTGGCTGAGTTGATGGTGAGGTCGTTGAACCCGCCCCCGTTGATGACCATGGCGGAGGGGAAGTATTCCCACCTGCTGTGCGTAGTCAGGGGCTCCTGCAGGAGCTCGGGCAGTTCGAAATCCTCGGGCCTGGTTACCGAGAAGGCGGTCTGGATTGGCACCGACTCGTCAGATGGTCGGGCATCTTCTTCGGGCTCCTTTGCCTCGCGGGCTTCACGACGGGGAGCGTCGTTTCTCCTGTACTGTGCAAGTCTCCCTCCTTTGATGAGGGTTTCAATAGCATCCTTCAGGTGGACGCAGTCCTCTGTCAAGTGACCATGACTCCTATGGTACTGACAGTATTTGTTTTTGTCTACTCCTGGCTTGGCAGGAGCTGGTCGGGGACGCTTGACGCCACCGTCTTTAAAATCTGTGCTCGCACACTCCGCCAGAATACGCTCGCGGGAAGCCGTGAGCGGAGTGTACTCAGTAAACCTGCCCGAGGGGCCCCTTTGTTCCCGGACCTCCCGGGGTCTGTCTTCCTTCCTCTTCTCTCCGGTGCGTCGGGGAGGAGGGTCTTGTCTTGAGCTGCTGCCATGGTTGCGAGCCCTGGAGTCTCGTGCCCTGTTGGCAGCTTCTCTCTCCTCGTAGTCCATATATGCTCGGGCTTTGTCGAGGAGAGCATCAAAAGTTGCAGGTGGCTCGATGCCTATAGCTTTCCTGAATTCTGTGCCGGGGAGGAGGCCCCTCTCCAGCAAGTACCTCTTCATATGGTCCGCGCAGGGGACCTGGATTGCTTCCCGGTTGAAGCGGTTGATGAATTCCCTCAAGGTCTCATCATGTCTCTGGATGATGGCCTCGAGGGCTGCCTCGGTCTTTGGATGGCGACGAGACGCTGTGAAGGAACTGATGAACTGGTTCTTCAAGTTCCGCCACGAAGTGATGGAGCCCGGGGCAAGTCCCTTGTACCAGTCCATGGCCGCCTTCCTGAGGGTTGTTGGGAAGAGACGGCACTTGATGGGGCCCCCGACATTGTGATAGTGGAGCATGGCCTCGAACCCGTCAATGTGGTCGACTGGGTCTGCCACTCCATCATACTCTTTCAGGTGTGGGGGCTTCTCCATGCCCGGGGGAATAGGTGCGTCCATGATGGCTTGCGACAGGGGACCGCGGGGGTCGTCCTCGTCGCTCCTTTCTGGAGAAAGAGAAGGGGTCCTGTAGTTGTGTCGGGCACGTTGCTCGTGCTGGGATTCCCTTGAACATGATGTTCGGTGACTGAAGGTCACACGCCCGTCTCTGTTGTGTCTCCGGTCGTGCCTTGATGGGTCGCGAACGGGCTCTTCGGCAGGAATGACGGGCTGTCTTTCATACTGGGGCCGCCTCTGCCTTGGTACGGGAGAGGGGCTCCTAGAGTTTTCCCTGTAATGTCTCCGCGGGGGAGTAGGGTGTCGAACTTCTTCGACCCGAGGAAGTGGAGATGGTGGCCTTTGATGTCTCCTCGGGGGGCGTCGATCATTTTCCAGTGCCCTAAGTCTTTCTCCTTGCGCGAACAGGAGATAGTTCGTCTGGTTGATGGCCGCGAACAGTGCCTGAGCCGTGGCATCTGCCCCGGCAGGGGCTTGGACTTCATAGAACCGGGCAGCCTGGCGATAGGCGAGAGCCTCCGGATCGTCTTCGAGTCCTGGAGGAGTTGTCGAGGAGGACGCAGTGTTCCCGTCCCTGCGGGTGGAAGGTCCAGGGGCGGTTGTCACGGGGACGGTATTGTGGTCGGCACCACTGGGATTGTCCAGGTGCCCATTCTTGTCCGCGGGACCGTTGTTGGCGTCGAGGACGCGAGTGTGTTGTTCTTCACGAGTTGGAGAGGCCATGACAGTGAATGGATTGAGCTTTGGTCTTTGAAACTGTTCGTTAGACGGGGAAGCTGTTTCCCACAGACGGCGCCACTGATCTGACCTGATCAGAAGGTTTGGACCGTCACGGCTGCTCCGAGCTGAAGGCTTTTTGAACGAGGAGGGGGGGGGGGGGTACCTGCAAGGCACTCCGATGCTTAAGTCAGTGGGAGTACTAGCAGATAATAGAGTTGAGGTTAGAATGATCAATACCTGACCCTCTGGAAGCAGAGGGTATTTATAACCCCCAGCGCTGGGCCAAGGTTCCTTCATTGGGCCGGGCGGATTTGGCCCAATGGAGGAACTGCCAGGTCCTACGTGGGTAGTGGGGACCAGCACGTGGTCCCCTTCCTGGATGTGCTGCGTGAAGTGCGGGCGGACGGAGACGCGGTCTTTCCGGAGTATCGTTGGGGGCAAGGGTGACTGAGTCTGCCCTAGCAAGGCAGCTTGAGTCCATGTCGAGCTGCGCAGCACGGTGCCGAGCTCGACGTCAAGACCTCGAGCTGGACAGCGAGTGTCGAGCTGGAAGCCAGGATACGGAGCTGGACGGTAGTCTGTCGAGCATGACTTAGTCGCGTGGGACTAGACATCGAGATGTCGAGGTGGACATCAGGGTGTCGGGCATGAACGTGACCCCCTTTGCCCAGTGTGTCCTTAGTGAGTCCCTTTGGACTGGGCCATAGTAATGCTTTTGGGCCTGTCGGGCCCAGTCCAGAACAATTATTAATATATGAAGTCATGTAATAAACAAATAATTCGGAAATTAGTTTTCTTTCCAATTTCGTTCCAATCATATAATGAACTTCGAAATGGTTAATAATTTATTTGTGATGCTCATGCATTTAACAAATGTTGATTGTATGAACAATTACTCAATCAAGTCTCTAAAATTGAGTTATTATGAGATATTATGGGTTCTATATAGATTATGTACAATATTCAACAACATATGTTTTTTAGTAAAATTTGTTCAAATTCAATGGCCTTTATAACAACTGTTTTATATTGAAATCTACATGAAATGTGATGAATTTTGATGCAATGGAATCCTCAATTAACCAATTATCTTAAGGGGTGTGGATTGATCAAATCCATGATGAAAGCATTCCTTGAATTAGAGAAAAACATTGATATCATCATGAAAAACCTTAATGATGACCCTTGTGCCTTCAAAACCGAAATACTCCCATACCACCTATCCATTCTTCAAGCTGAAACACTCATTAGAAAGCTGGCAAAATATTCTAGAAGTTGTAACAAAAATCATCCAAATCCATCTACCACAATCCAAGTTATGACTAAATGAATCTAGCTCAAAAGCACAGCTAAAACAACCAAACCTCCCAAATCACGAAACATTTGATATATTCTCCACCGATCAATCAAAGAAAACCGTCGATAGTATCTCCATCGGATGGCTGACATTTAAACTAGTAGAAGGCATCGATCCTTGTGGGATTCTCTGAACCAATTAGAATTCAGTAATAGAATATTACCCCACACACACTTCACTATTTAAACCATCCAGTTCTCTTCTAATTATCACAAACAAAAAATAAATATTCTATCACAGTTTCTTCTGTTCATCCATAATTCAATTCAATTCCTGATCCTTAATTTTCCCATGGCCACCGAAGAACCCATTGTCGCCGTTGAACCTGTGACCGAACCAGCGATTGCCGAACCTCAGGTGCTGGAGAATGAAGAACCAAAGGCTGAAGTAGAGAAGCCTAAGAAAGCCAAGGAATCAAAGCCTAAGAAAGCGAAAGAATCAAAGCCTAAGAAAGCTTCCAAACCACGAAACCCTGCTTTACATCCTACTTACGAAGAGGTTCAATTCAATTCAATGTTTTATATGCACTGTTTAAATTGGATCTGAATTTTGATTTGTTAATTGAATTGCAGATGATTAAGGATGCAATAGTGTCGCTGAAGGAGAAGAACGGTTCGAGCCAATATGCTATTGCAAAGTTCATTGAAGAGAAACACAAACAGCTTCCTGGTAACTTCAAGAAGCTATTGCTCCAAAATTTGAAGAAAAATGTTGCTTCTGGAAAGCTCGTTAAGGTTAAAGCTTCATTCAAGCTTTCTGCAGCGGCGAAGAAGCCAGTAGTTGCCAAACCGAAGACCAAGCCAGCTGCCAAGGTGAAGGCTGCGAAGGCCAAGACGGCCGTTAAGCCTAAAGCGAAAGCTGTTGTTAAGCCCAAGGTTGCTTCAAAGGCCAAATCAGTCACTAAAAAGCCCAAAGCGGCTGCCGCCAAGCCCAAAGCTGCTGCTAAACCCAAGGCTGCCGCGAAGCCCAAGGCCAAGCCTGCAAAAGTTGCAAGGACACCGAAGAAGACGACACCAGGAAAGAAAGTCGCTGTTGCGAAGCCCACACCTAAGAAAGCACCGTCTGCAAAGAAAGCTCCCCTGAAGAGTGTGAAGGTTGAAACCGTAAAATCTACAGCAAAGAAGGCTTCCGGGGTGAAGAGAGGTGGAAGGAAATGAGAATTTTGTGCTCGTTTAGCATTGTAAAGTTCTGGTTTTGTTTTCCATCCTATTGAATTAATCATGATATAACTATTATATGATTATAAGATGTTGTTTAAAACTTAAATAACTCACTAAGTAACTGTTCGGAAACCAGTTTAGTAATATTCGCGTCCATTCTGATAATAGTGAAGCCATGATTTAATTAATTTTATATTTAATAAAAAATGAGAATAATCAAAATAATAATAATTTATTATAAAAATCATACCACAAATTTATGTAAGTAAAAAAATATTTAAATTTAATATATTATAATAAAACATGAGATGGTTGTATGTAAAGTATAAATACATTTCTAACCTTAAAACCAATAATCTCATATTCAACCCAACAAATGCCATGTTATTCTCTACTGGATTAAAAATGATAAAAAATTGAAAGTATTATAACTTTGAATAAAAGCATGAAAAAAAATAGTTGATATATTATAAAAAAAATCATTTTTATGTTGACAATATGGGAAAAAAACATTAATTTTATTCTTTAGCATCTAATATCTGTTTCGTATATGATATTTATAATATTATAATTAGTTTTGCTTTTATTTATATAATAAAAAAATTAAAACTAACTAGTTAAATTAGTGACAAATGGTATTCCCATATATCTATTTGTCCATCTTTAACTGCACATTAAGTGAATTATAATTAACTTATTATAATTGTTTTTTTATGTTGACAATATTATAAAATATCAATTTTAAATATTTTTGATTTACATATATTTGTCATAATAAATAAATATTATTTTGGTTATTTTCATTTTTTAATTAAATATAAAAATTAATTTAATTAAAGTGATAACTAGATTGTGACCTTGGATGCGAATAGAATAATTTTTCTAGTAACATTTTCATTATAATTATTCTAGTAGAACTTTTGGAAAAATTTTCAGCAATAACGATGTTTAAAAATTAAAATTTATCAATAACGATGTTTTTAAATTTTTTACTAAAATAATTAAGTTTAGAAAATAGTTTAAGTGAACACCTCATCTTATACAGTGAATACACATAAAATTGTACCTAGGTGCTATATGAGATCGCGTGTATAGCCTAGCCTGTAAATTAGATGAGATGACATGTATATTTAAAATTTGTGAAAAGATGACATCTCATACAGTGTCAGGTGTAAATGTCTTTTCTATAAATATATCACATTTCTCCAATATTCTTCACACTTTTCCATTTTTTTTTCATTTTCTCTCTAATTTTCATCATGACATCTAACATGATTTTCATAAGAGATGAATATATTTTTTCCTCTGCTATCAAACCCCCGACTAAAATAAAATTTTGGCACATTTATTCTATGGAGCATCTTAAGAGAAGTTGATCGGATGATTAGACGGAGACATTGAAGATGACAGATCTATTAGAAGAATTCATAGACAAAGAACAACCACCTCACTTACGATCGAAAAACTTCAATGTTGGTGGGAGGATGTCAAAACTGACACAGACGTAATGGTGATGATGCATTGATCAGATGAAATTGTTTTGACAGTTATAATTTCTTAGATTATTTGACGTGTTAACTAATTTTAATCGTTGTATGTGTTGTTGCTTTAGTCTTGTTTGCGTTCGGTTTGTTATAACCTAGGTTCTTAATGAAAAAAAGTTCAGTTTATTTCTAAAAATAAATTATATAGTGTGCATATAATATTTATGTAGTCGAACTTGTAGCACGAGTGAGACAATGTCTTCATGTGTGTCCGACTTGGCGACATATATCACACTTTCTTTCTTCCTTATCACCCATATCCTTTCAGTTGTTATATGCTTGCTTTTGAGACAACCACTTTTCTTCCTTCGCATTTGGTCATTGTGCCAAACTATTCCCCCTTCATACGCAGGCCAATAATTCTCTTTTGCTACCACTGAAAAGCCATTGTTGTATACAATGAGAAATGTCTCGGCCTTGTAAGCGAGAGATAAAAGTGATAATGCATTTTGATGAGCATACGTACATGCTGCAATGACATGAGAGCAAGGCATACATAATGCTTGAAACTTTCTATAATCGCACCAACGAGATGGTAGTAGAATCTTATACTCTTGTTTTGACAGTCCCTCGTTGTGGTCAATCATCTCTTTGGCGATGAACTTGTGGTTATGACGGCCAAATCTTGTAACATTATGAGTGTTGGCTTTGGCACTTTCTTTCTTCATAAATTTCATGCAACTTTCACTCCACAATTGTCCTCATTGTAACACTGCACTCCACTTTTCACCTCTTTTTGAGAACATGAAATCTATCCTAAAATAGGTTGATTTCACCAAAGCGGTTACAGAGATGTTTCATATTCCTTTGGAGAAACCGTTCATTGATTCAACAAGATTTGTTGTCATGTGGCTCCATCATTGTCTATTGTCATGTGATATCGTCCATTTCTCCACTGGAAGATTATCAACCCACCTCCCTGCATTCAGATTAGACAATCTCAATGCGATCGTGTTGGAATGATGGTTGAGTTAATGCATACCCCGTATTCACAAGAGTTTTTTTAAGAGCTCTGTCTTTAATCTCTCGCATGAAATTTTGTGCGATATGTCTAACGCAGTAGACATGCATAGAAGGGGGGTCGTGTCAACCATTAATACAATTATTATATGCACTCTCAATAGAAGCATGTCTGTTGAAATCAAACAGAGACTAGGTTGCGGAGCAATGTGTGTTGGTAGATTTTTGAGAAAGAAACTGTAACACCCTGGTTTTTATTGAATTATTTTTATTAAATAAATTGTATGATGTTGTGAATTTACACGCGTTGAAGAGTCATTTTATGTATTGTAATACCTTGTTGAGGGGTAGTTACCTTAGAGATATAGAAAATAAGGTATTGGGGTGTATGACTAAAAGTGTAGAGGAATAGGGGTGAAGGGAGATTATTATTATAATATTAAAATAATAATATTAATTATAATAATTAAATAATTATTTATTTTAATTATTATAAGGATAAGGGAATAGTTTAAATATAATAATAAGGGTCCAACGGTTAATTTAGTAAAAAATCATGAAGGTAAGAATCACTTTAGTTTGAGTGATCGTAGAAAATTAGGAAGAAATCAGAAATGTTGTATTTTGGGATAAGAGAAAGCACGAGAGAGAGAGAGAGAGAGAGAGAGAGAGAGAGAGAGAGAGAGAGAGAGAGAGAGAGAGAGAGAGAGAGAGAGAGAGAGAGAGAGAGAGAGAGAGAGAGAGAGAGAGAGAGAGAGAGAGAGAGAGAGAGAGAGAGAGAGGAAAAGTTAGGGCAAAGAGAACCTTCGTTAGAGCACCTTCGAAGAACGTCAATTAAGGTAAGGGTGGGTGTGATCGGTGGATCTGGAACTGACTGTTTAACGCTGGTTCGCGAAAATGTCGCGGAAGCAAGAGTCGCCACCGTCTTTTATTTTCTCCAAATGGAAAGGACAAAAGCACAGAAAAATTCCTTAAAGAGATTGCTCTCGGTTCGGGAGGTAGGTTATAGAAAGGGAAGGTATTAGCACCCTTTCTATCCATGGTTATCCATGGGCTCTTAGATACTTGCTCAATGTGTTTTCAAAATTGTTTGCTTGCTTCTCAATTGTGGGTTTAAAAAGTTTCTTTGAAAAATTTCAGTTAGACTCGTACGTCAGAGTGTTTGAAAAATTTGCTTTGAAAGCTTTTGAAAATGTGTTGGTGAAAAGTATTATTTGTTTGAAATTAGAGCAAGTATCCTTGAGAACCTACCTACCCTAAGGAATTCGTCTGTGTAAATGTCCTTTAAAGTAGTGCCATCCCACCATTGAGAGGTAGGTAGCACCACCGTCGGAGGTGTTCGGGTCAATTCGTTGGTAGGGACATGGTAATCACCAGAGCAATGGGAAGACACCTTAGAAGCTACCCTCATGCCAGGTTCCCGGATCATGAGGACTTACTAAGACGTCCTCTACTCGACGATCACCTTTCGAAAGGCAACAGTGAGGCGTACCCTAGGGGTGGTGTGTGCGATTTATGTGTCGTTTTCATTGATATTTGTCTTGTCATGTTTGTTGTGATCTACGCTTGATTTTATTTTAAGTCCATACATTCTTTCATGCTTATTTAACAGTTAAAAGTTGCGGGCAAATAATCTACAACTATTACAACGGCGCGGGTCCACATCGCCAAAATTAAACCGGACCCGATTTGACGGAAAGATAAAGAAAGCAAAACAAAGTGCGAGAAGTTTAAGTTACAATGCTTCGGGAGAGATACATAATGAATTAAGCGAAATAAAACAAATGTGCGAATAAAATAAATTACGAACGAGGGCGTTGGACCCTTTTACAAAATATTATTAATAAGGAATTAAAATTAAGAATTAAAAGGAAATGCTTTTTAGTATTTTTGTGTTTTTTGAGATTTAATAAAAAAGAATTAATTAAAAAAACCAAAATGAAATGTTAAACCTAGTTCTAATTATTTTTAAGTTTATTATGAAAGTATTAAAATTTAACCTAAATGCAACCCTAATTAGTTTACAAGTTTAATTATGAAAATAAATAAATCACTAATATTATGGCAAAAAAAAAAGGAAAATTAAAAGGAATAACAAGTCATTAAACCTAATGCTATATTTTTGGATTTTTTATGAAAAAAGAACTAATATTGCAAACCCTAATTTAAATTGAATTTATTTACATGTTAATTTATGTATAAGGAAATAATTAAAATAAAAATTATTTATCACATTTTTGTCTTTTCTGATTTTTAGGCATTTTTGTATATTTGTAAAAAATAATAATTAATTTAATGAAAACGATAAAGAAAATAAAATAAAATAAAAAAATGAAATGTAATGAAAAGTGCAAACCAGGGGGTTTCAGTCCCAAATTAGGAGGTGTAGGCCTTAGCAATCTGGCCCAACAAGTCCTTGATCTTTTTGACTTTCCTGACTAGCCTGTGGTGCGTTGACTGGGGTTTATAGGTGTCCTTTAATCCCTGCCCTTG